GCTAAAATGACAGACATGGTGATTCTGTTTGCAGGAGGAATAATAAGAGAAAACTTATTGACATAATATAGTTTTACCTACCTCAAATTTACTACCATTGGAGAATGTAAAGATTCCATAACCTTCCTTCCTGTCCATAAAAAATGTTCCCATGAACTTAGAGCCATCTGGCCATGTGTATTCCCCTTTACCATGACGGCGATCTTTGTAGAAGGTTCCCTTATATGTCTGTGTAACAATTTTTTTATTCACTTAAAAATGTTAGAATACATAAATAGTGCATGTTTTCAAGGGTAACTGTTGAAATTGACACCTCAAGAGAAAACTATTGTCAACCAACGAGTCAGTGGGGTAGGGGTATCAATTTCAACTGTTACCCTCCAAAAGATGCACTGTTTATTTTATCATACTGAATGTCTGATTCAAATTAAAAACAAGAGGCCCATGGGCCACAACGCTCACCTGAGTCAATATGGCCCTGCTGTTCTTCGTCAGCAGATTTCTTCTCCTATATTTCTCCTATATATTCATATATAAAGCTTTGATCGCCTGTTCTAGGCATACCCTACCCCAAGGTGCCATGTTTTGAATGAAATTGAAAATAAACCTTCTGAGGATGCTTCTATCTTCATATAACTAATCATGATTTTGCTGTTCTTTAAAACAGAATTTTAAATATGTCTAACACCCTACCCTGGGGGGGGGGGGGGGGTCATGATTTGAACAAACTTGATTGTACACTACCTGAGGATGCTTCCATATCAATATGACTGATCATGGCTTTGTTGTTCTTGAGATTGAGAAGATTTTTAAAGATATTTCCTGTATATGTTCTATTATAAAACTTTGATCCCCCATTATGGCCCCACCCTACCACTGGAGGATGCCTTAAACTAGCTTGAATCTACAATATTTGGGGAAGATTCCATATCAATATGACTAATTGTGGCTTTGTTGTTCTTGAGAAGAAGATTTTTAAAGATTTTCCCTATATATTCCTATGTTAAACTTTGATCCCCCATTGTGGCCCCACCCTTCTCCCGGCGGTCATGATTTGAACAAATTTGAAGCTACACTACTTGAAGATGATTCCATATCAATATGACTAATTGTGGCTTTGTTGTTCTTGAGAAGAAGATTTTTAAAGATTTTCCCTATATATTTCTATGTAAAACTTTGATCCCCCATTGTGGCCCCACCCTACCCCCGGGGGTCATGATTTGAACAAACTTGAATCTACACTACCTGAGGATGATTCCATATCAATATGACTAATTGTGGCTCTGTTGTTCTTGAGAAGAAGATTTTTTTTCTATATATTCCTATACAAAACTTTGATCCCTCATTGTAGCCCCACCCTACCCCCAGGGGTCATGATTTGAACAAATTTGAATCTACACTACCTGAGGATGATTCCATATCAATACGACTAATTGTGGCTTTGTTGTTCTTGAGAAGAAGATTTTTAAAGATTTTCCCTATATATTCCTATGTTAAACTTTGATCCCCCCTTGTGGCCCCACCCTTCTCCCGGGGGTCATGATTTGAACAAACTTAAATCTACATTACCTGAGGATGATTCCATATCAATATGACTAATTGTGGCTCTGTTGTTCTTGAGAAGAAGATTATTAAAGATTTTCCCTATATATTCCTATGTATAACTTTGATCCCCCATTGTGGCCCCAACCTACCCCCGGGGGTCATGATTTGAACAAACTTGAATCTACACTATGTAATGAAGGTTTCACATAAGTATAAACTTTTCTGGCTCAATGGTTCTTGAGAAGAAGATTTTTAAAAGATGACACCAAATTTTCACCAATTCTTAATTATCTCCCCTTGGAAGAGGGCGTGGCCTTTCATTTGAACAAACTTGAATCCCCTTCACCCAAGGATGCTTTGTGGCAAGTTTGGTTGAAATTGGCCCAGTGGTTCTGGAGAAGAAGTTGAAAATGTGAAAAGTTTACAGACGGACAGACAGACAGACAGACAGACGGACTACAGACAAAATGTGATCAGAAAAGCTCACTTGAGCTTTCAGCTCAGGTGAGCTAAAAAGGCGGATATTGTCGTTCTGAATCAGATCTCATTTCAAAAGGCTTTTAAACACTCTGTTTGTTTTTTCCCAATAAAAAGGCTTTAAAATTGATTCACCAACCTCTGAAGTTTGTTTGGTACTCAATAATTTTGTTACAAACATTTTTATTCTGTCAGTTGTTTTTGCAATCAATCTTACTTAGACCAAGCTATTAATAACATCATTATTAACATTGTGCTCATTTCAATGCACAACTGATGTGTTGAGAATCTGTATATGCATAAAATAAATGCATGTGACATTATCGTTATGTTACCCGTTACCTAGTGTGTTGCTAATGCTGAGGGTAACATTAAAAATTGGTAATTATACTTCTAAACCAATCAGATTTCAGTATTTATCATGAAAGTATAATAAACTATAATAATAAATCTGAAACTCGAATAGTCTCTGTAAACAGTACTTTTTCTCACATTCACAACCAAATTTAAACAAGATAATCTTGTTGACTTTAACTACAAAATAAACCAGAAGTCTCTGACCAGACTGTAGCGCTACTGGTTTGTACTTATAATGAAGGAAAATAAAAGTAGCACTTGGACTTGAAACTTTGCAACAGCAATAAATAGAATAATGATCCTTGGTTTAGTCTCTTTTTGTGGCAAGATTTATTGCAATCAGACTAAAACTGTAGGAGGAATAGCCTTTTGAAAGAATTTTAGTGTAGTCTACTTGTGTGCCAAGTTATACTGAAATCAGATAAAAACTGTAGGAAGAGTAGCATTTTGAAAGTATCTCAAGGAAATCTCTAATTTTAGTAACCATGGCAACACCATTCATCGAAAGTGAAAAAAAAAAAACGATGTACAGAATTATAAATCTTAGTGTACTCTACTTGTGTGCTAAGTTAAACTGAAATAAGACCAAAACTGTAGGAAGAGTAGCATTTTGAAAGTATTACAGAGAAATTTCTATTTTTAGTAACCACGGCAACACTGTTCATCGAAATTAAAAACCGATATAAAGAATTATGTATCTTAGTGTAGTCTACTTATATGCCAAGTTTCATTGAAATCAGATTAAAACTGTAGGAGAAGTAGCATTTTGAAAGTTTTTCAAGGAAATTTCTATTTTTAGTAACCATGGCAACACCGTTCATTGAAATCAAAAACTGATACACAGAATTATGTATCTTAGTGTAGTCTACTTATGTGCCAAGTTATATTGAAATCAGACCAAAAGTGCCAAGTAATATTTAAATCAGACCAAAACTGTAGGAGGAGTAGCGTTTTGAAAAATTGTTTACAGATGGACAGACAGACGGACACTTACTATCGCATAAGCTATTCTGGTCTCTGACCAGTAGAGCTAAAAACAGGGATAAAGCATCTCTAATAAGTGTATCCTTTACCATACATCTTCTATCATCCCTTTATCACATCTTAGCTGCAGAACTGTAGCTCACTGGGACAGAAAATTTAGGCAGACATGCTTATAGAGAGCTACAGATCCAGTCATTGTTACAACCACCAATTTATTGGGACACTTTTTTCATGCATACTTTGGGTATCATTTTTCAAATTATATGCATTCTGTCACCTAAAGCATGATATCCATTAATTAAACATAAATTTTTCTCCTATTCCGTTTACTTTTCAATGGTTGTAAATGGAGTTATGCTAAATGTTTTTGGTCAAATTTCATCAATACCAGGTCTTTAAAAGTACATATTTAATATTAATAGAGAAAATAGGTCAATAAAATGACAGACGTATAAATCTTCTCAGAAGGCATATTTTCCCTGGCATGAGGTGGTACGTCTTTGCTAGCCAAGGGTTTTCAGTCCACTCCACTCCCCATAGTTGACTGAAAACCCTTGGCTGGTGAAGATAAAGGTTGTACAGCATTTCAGGGACTATGATTTCAATTCTCAACACATTTTCCCTGTACATTCCCTGTTTTAGGTAAATCCATTTGACAGAGCTCAAGAAATATAGCACTTCATTATAAAATTTAGATGTCTAAAAACTTATAAAAAGAAACGGTTGAATCATCATAAAGTCTTTTGTGAACACCTAATTATTCAAATTGGCATGTTGAACCTTAAGTAACTTAAATATAATGCAATGTATACGTAAAGTCATTAGCCCCTGTAGCAGTAAATGGTCATAAAAATTTGAAGCATTATTTTTCCTTGACTTCTAAATATATCAACAAAATATTGATCTTTGATGAGTAGATTTAGGACAGGAAAATTTTTTATTTCATCACTGTTACTTAATTTTTGAAAAGATCTATTAAATATTTATGTATCACTATGTTAGTGTACCTCCAGCTCCTAGCTACATTGTAATTAAACATGTACTAAATTTAAATCTATACTAAATTAGTTTGATCAGGCAGCTAGGTATTGATTAATTTTAACATAAAAATTGTCTACTTTTATAAACATTTTTGAAGTATCACATTTTGTAGCAAAAACCAATATTTATGTTACTCTCACCAATCACTGTGTAGTTTTTATTTTGAATTAAGAAGAAGCTTGAAATCACTACAGATCTACTTCTTGGTTAAATTGTCTCACATTTGAGCTATATTATCAGAATATGTAACTACTGATAAAGTAGATATGTTTTGTGTTTATAGTTGAGTGTTTGATAAACCTTTCACAAACAATAAGGCATTTGAAATAATCAACTGATCAAATGGTGATCAAGTGTGTGTGTGTGGGGGGGGGGGGGGGGTGCTTTGGTAAATTAAAATGTTAAAACTTGGATAAATCATAGCTTGATTTTTCAATTCAATCTTTTGTGCAAAAATGCAGAAAATTCAATCATTTAAAATAATCATTTCCCTTTTTTTAAATACGGAATTATGTATCTAAATGTAGTTGTTTACTAGACAGTATTATTGAAATCAGACCAAAACTTTAGGTGGAGTAGAATTTTGAAAAAGTTTCACAAAAATTTCAATTTCTACTGACCATTGCAACCTTAGTCATTGATATCAAAATTCAATGTAAAGACTTATGGATCTTCATGTAGTCTACTTGTGAAGCAGGTTAAACTGGGGTGTTGCTAAAATGCGAAACGAAAAACAGAACTGAGCGGAAAAGCGGAAAATATGATATCAGTTTAAATCCCTTGAAAATATATAAATCATATCAAAAATGATATACATTATATAA